TTAACGAAAACAATACTGTTTTGGCTTTGTGTGATATTTTATACATACAACATGAAATTATCCTCACACAGCATGAATCTTCTTTACATAACTAGTCATTAAACAGGGTCATCTCATAATAAAGTGAACATGGAAAATGTATTTATGTCATCTTTGATAAGTCTGCTGTGCTGCCCAGCACAACTTGCAAAACCCTGTTGGGCCACCGAATGCCTGCACACATAGGACTACTACAGTCGATTTTCATACTTCCATGACGAATGTAATCTTGGGCTTGGGTGGTGGGTTCCTATACACTGGGGGGTTTATATTAGCCATGCCCTCAGCTTGGTGTGTGATAAAAGAACATACATGCACATGGACATACAACCTTAATTGGTGAATATTGACTCTGTGTATTTGTTGAGCTGCTGACATTGCTGTGCCCACCAATCTTAGCAGCCGTTCCCCTCGCAAAAGGCAAATAGCGAGCCAAATGAATGAAACCTGAACAACATTCTCTTGTAAATACTGAAACACCCCAAAGAGATGGAAGGAGATCTAACCATAGTCTAAATGCTTTGCTTCCTGGGCATTTGAATTCGAAAACCAAAACCGGGTTAGGATATCTCCTACCTGTTCTCTCTAAATTGAAATAAATCTTCCATCTTGCACCAACTGAACCTCCACCACAGTGGGAGAATGAACCATTAACCTCATCCGCGAAGCCTTTCCTTAGAGTTTCCATTTAAAACTTCCGGCAAGCAGACCAATTTAGCAGGATCATGGAAATGGCAAGAGCACAACCGGAGCAAACCCGATTTTAAACTGATGGCCTCTTGCGCCCTCACGTTCACAGCGATGCAAACAGTCATGGACACCGTGTACGATTTCCAACCACTAGTCATAGAGCAATAAACAGACTATCTAGAAATTGATGGTGTAACTACCAATATATTTTGGCATTGGTGATTAGTTAAACTAATTCCACTAGTTGTTCAACCCTAGTTTGTCCACTAAATGGAATGGCTAAAAAATTGTGTATGTCTAACCTCGGGCTAACTACAATCTTTCAAAACTCTATCCTGCCTGATGTGAGAGTTAACACAGTTATGTCAGTAAATACTCCTTAAAATATCTAAAAAGTGTGCAATGCCACAGACTGAATTCTTCGAACAATGTCAATGCTGGCTTCACAACTCAGATTGTCCATGATCGGTAATGAATAATTCAAGCATATCATGTTAGTATCAAATGAAATGTACACATTTATGACAATGTTGTCAGTGACAAATTCACCCTAAATCTCAGTTTCCTTTTCAGAACAGCCTCTATAGAGAGAATCTGGAATGAATACATAAAAGGAATTTTTATTTTTAATTCTGAGATGTGATGGAAAGAAAAATGGATACAATACTTTACCATGCATTTGCTGAATGGCCTTCTTCAAATCTGACATTTCCTCCACTTTCAAGCTCAGCAACCAATCTTTTACAGGAAATCCTTGTGGAATGTTTTACATGTAAAACTGCTTCATTGCAATATGTATCCATCCTGCAGAACAAAGGTAATGATAAACTTTAATTTTCCAAAATTCGTCTGTCTCTTGATACGTATTTATTCTACTTTAAAAAGGTCCAGGGGATTTGGACAAAGACGTAAAGGCTACAAAATTATCACAAGACTATTTCATCAAAACATCACTACACTACACATACAGTTTTTGAATCTCTACTTAAAACGCTTCAAATGGTTACGACGTGTGTGTAAAAAAAAAGACTAAAAAACATGGTAAATATTCAAATAATATCAAAATTTTAAATGACATCCTCATGATAGCAGTTTATATGTATCAGTTAACATTTGGAGACCCATTCAATTTCACATTGATCAAATGCTGTTGTGTGTACACAAAAATTGAACTTTTTGATGATGTCATCATGATGTCACAATTTAAAAAACACACACATCGATTGTCCTACCAAAGGTCTTGCAAATACATTCAAAACTACTTTGTTCAGAAAATATGTTAAAAAGAATTCTAAAAAAATCATGAAAATCATAGGATGACATAAGTATGGCAATACCTCAGTTTTCATCTTGAACACATTCCTGTCTACACACATACCGTGTTTGAACCCAATTGTATTTGTTCTCTCAATAAAGGTCTTCAAAGGGCAAGTTTAAATTGATGTCATTGATTGGGTTATCATAATGTGAGTTTTCATTTTTCTTCTTAGGTATAAAGCCTTGCTTTGGCAGTCTCATTATGACCAAAGCTTTAACAGTGACCAAAGTGGCATTCAGAAAAACATTTACAAAGTCTATGGACTTTGAGGTAGAACATGGAGAAAAAGGGGAAAAGAGGGGGACAAAATTGGGCAGCTTCTCTCAATGGAAATACTGGGAAACTGTTTACTTAATAGAAAACTGTTCTTTGTTCTGAAAATGTCAGCAGAAATAGAAACAAAGATTTGCTTTAAGAGCCCCCTCTATGAATTAAGCCTAAAGCCACTATTCCCTGGACAAAGAACTGTTGATGCCTTGTCGGCACACACATGCACATATCCTTGTTTGTTGAACATAATGAAATACAACTAGAAGGGAATTCCATATAACATACTCTAAATGCAATGTACATAATGCATTATTTATCATTTAATAAGGTTTTCCAGTTCTCCTCTCTGAAAAACCCTTTTGGCACAGGGGAGCAAGAGCAGGCATTCTAACAGCCCACAGGAAGTTTTCTAAAGTGGTTGTATTCCTGCAATACCTTCACTTCCCAACTAATCTTTACCCAGGATCTAGGCAGGCCACGGTAATTTAGTGCACTCTCTCCCCTTTCATGCTATCTTGCTGAGCACTGAACACGTCTGGAAAATACTCTCAACTATTTTCATCATTCTGACTATCTCAAGTTGTCGCCTGATGGTCCATGGTAATGAGAAACTGAGGACAAAACTGGAAGACCAAGAAGGACAATGGTAAGTAAGGGAAATGACCTTCTACGGCTCCTACTTGCACTCAGGCTCAGGCCCTCCAGTCTCTCCTAAGCCAGACATTAGCGTCAGCACATCACCATTTGATTCTAACAGTAACACCTGCGACAGTCTCCATGAACAGTGCCCTCTATTGATATCTACTGCAAGCTCATCCACAGCAAGCACTGCGGCATCAACAACCATGACCAATCCCATGGAGGCTGAGAAAATTTGGCTGTTTCTACAGTTGACGCTCACACCCTAGACCCCCAGCCTTCAGTGGGCCAGCATTCTATGCCGCAACCGGCCCCATCCAAGGCTAACCTCCTGCTAACATTGCTAACTGGTTTGACCTTGCCAGCTGGGTGAAGCACACACTAGACCCATGCTAACCTCCATGGCAGCTGCAACAACTATGACCTGCGCTGCCACCCAACTGGCTCCTGCACGAAGTTAGCCCACCTGCAGCACCTGCCAGTGTCATGCCACCTCTGTCCGGGTTCCTAAGATTTGCCCAAGCCCTACACATATTGTCTTTCCTCCATATCCAACCTACCAGCCATCCAACTTGCTCAAGCAGCTTGGCAGCTCCTCATTTTTTCGGTGTTCCAAGGGCCCCTCTTCCACATGCTCCAGCATAACCTCAAGTTCACCCTACCATACCCGCTTCCATGCCCAGGCCTGCCACCTCTGGCCAGCTTGTGTGGCCTTCAGTCTCCCATCAAGCCTATCAGAATCCGGTGAGTGCAATATTCTGGGAACCAATTTGGCTTCCATATCAAAGGCCACTGCAGGTTCCCAGCCCCCACCACACAATTGGCCAACCAACCCAATAACACCACCAATCCCATATAGTTGGGGGGGTTGCTGTAGGTTTGCAAACCTCTCAGGACCATAGTTTCCACTGGGACCAGGGAAAAATATTGTTAGAAGCAAGTTTGTAGATTTTGATTCTCTCCTTGACCGCCAGGAATCCAGCCCCTCCCCCTCCAACCTCACCTTCACCATGCAACAGTGAGCCCAACTGCAAGTGACAGACACAAAGAAAAACACAGATGAACTCAATCTTGGTCTGGACCGATGCATTACTGGTCCTTGCGGTGGTGTTCCTCAGCACTCCCCCTGCTTGCTCATAAGAACTACTTTAAGTACATGCATATGGCATGTGTGGCCACTGCTTGCTTCCCTGGATGTGGGTGGCAAGATTACCACCAACAGTTTCGGATATGTCACAAATTTCATCCATCTAGGTCATGGTCTATCCCTGATACAGAGCTGTGGGCTCTCCATGTTTTGGTCTCAGGTCTCTTTTAAGCTCTCATGGGCACAGATTTCCTACTCACCGCCTCAAAACAGCCATTCAACTCCTTTCATTGGCAGTCCCGTCCAAACCCCTACAGCAGTGGTGTCTGTTTCAAGTACAACTAGGCGTCCTGTTGCCCACAGGCAGTGTCCATTCCTGTATGAGTGTTCCACATTCTAGGCAGGTGGGCATGGGGCTTCCGTCTGCAAAACTCTTGCTAATAAGAAAACCCCACCCAACAGGGGGGCACAACCTACACTCCGGCCATGTGCCAACTCTTCAAACTGCACTTGCAGTCTTGCACCTTCCCCGGTGAACCTAGGGTGACTCCTATTTTTACTCAACACTTACCCAACACTAAGGCAGCATCTTTGCTATGTTGAAGGTTTACACTTGGGTTCAGACGAGGCTATGAGGGCCCTCCCACTTGCAGGGATGCAAATTATCTGACTTCAGAAGTAATCCTACCCTAGCACTTGACAAGCTGGGAAAAGAGGTTAAACTGGGCCGCACAACAGGCTCCATTTCAAATAAGTCAAATCAAAAAGCTTTGAATTTCTCCAATACGTCTTGTCCCCAAAGCTGAACCAGGCAGCTTTAGGCTTAACCACTACCTTTCTCACCCCAACTTAATCAATGACAGTATTGACAAAAAATTATGTTCAGTACAATATATCTCTTCTGATGACACAGTTAACCTAGTACTTAATTTGGGAAAAGGGACTCTTATGGCAAAAGCCCACATCAAATATGCATTTTGTTTTCTGCCCATTAACCCTTATGACTTCTGCCTACTGCCTAAGGGGAAGCAAGTTCAAGTGGGTTTCTCTTGTGTCAGGGCCTATTAGAATTTTTCACCCAGGTTTCGTGTACTTGAGCATTGCATTTATAATAAATAATTCGATACCCTTTCTATCTCATTTTGAACGTTCTGCAAGCACGGACATAATAGATTCAAAATGTCTGCGCCCAAGACGGAGTCAAATTTTCTCTGCGCGGAAAATGAGAAGTTAGCGTTCTTGTTATGTACAGAACTAGGGGTGCCTTGAAAAAATGACAAAACAGTCCTAATGACACAACTTTCCTTTTCTGGAGTTAGAAATTAATTTCATCGTGCAAACAGTACCCATCCCCACAGACAAGCTCCAAAATATCTCTGATGCACTCAGTCCTTCCAAGATAATACTTAAAACTCTCCAATCACTCACTGGATCTCTATCCTATCTGTGCCATGCTGTCAACCCTGGGCGAGCCTGCCTCAGACAGCTGATAGACTCCACTAAATATGCACAACCACCTTGGCAACTTGTCAGTCTCTCCAAGGGTGCGAGGCAGGACCTTCAGGTGGCAGGTATTCCTTCGCAGCTTTAATGGTAAGACAATGATTCTGGACCACTACAGAGCACTCAACGAAGACCTTCAACTGTTCACAGATGTTAGCAAGGGGATTGGCTTTGCAGATTTCTTTCAAGGCCAGTGATTGAACAGGGTTTGGCCACAGTCTGTCCAAGGCAGCAACCATTCCATTGCTTGGAGGTCTTTCCAGTTGTGGTGGCTGTCTCAGTATGTGGCAAATCCCTCGTGGAAAAAGAATGTTAATTTGGTCAGATGAGGCTGTGGTTACAATTATTAAATAGTAAAACCATCATCAAAATATGCAAAAATCATGAAACTGTGTTCACTTCTTTGTCCTGTAATGCCTCAAGGACAATGTCAGCATCAAGGCTAGACACATTCCAGGTAGCCATAATGATGTTGCTGACACACTATCCTGTTCACAGATGACCCAAGTTTGGGAGGTTGCACCCTCAGCTGCCAAAGATGGGTGGAAGTCCAGCCATTTCTATGGAAGCTATAAACACAGAAATCTTTCCACTCCTGGGAGCTTCCTTTGCTAGTAGTACTTATAGCAAGGGTGTGGATCAGTTCATTCGATTCCAGCATAGTGGTGGGCTTCCCCGTCTCTGGCTGGCTCCAAGTGGCCCATATAGCTGCATTCATTGCCCATCTCTCCCTGGAAGGTCTCCCCACTCTACAATCGGTACGTACACAGCTTCTACTGCTTATGCATACCTGCCAACTTTGTGGGCTAAAAAATGGTAATCAAGCAAAATCATGTAATACATCATAAGTATTTGACATGACTTTGTCAGAGATTTACATTTTTAAGAGAAAAATGACTTCAATTTTTAAAGCTACCAGTAGTAAACATCATTGTTGTGAATAAATAAAGTTGTGGCAGATTATGATGATTAAAATATTGTTAAATC